CCATAGATACAGTCAATCTAATTCCTGTGTATTTCATCTGGTGAGGTCCACATGTATATTCAGAGTGTATGTTGTTGGAAAAAAAGTATTTGTAATGAATAAATCATTGGTTTTGCAAAATTCTATCATGCAATCTCCAGCATCATTTCTATCACCAAGGATGTATTTTCCAGCTACTGATGATTCTTCTGTTTCCAATTTTCTCATTCTAATCACCAGTAATCATCAATACATCTTGATTACATGTTTGGTCAATTTCAGACTGCAGAAGTTGGTAAAAATCTTCAATATCTTCATCTTTGGTTTTAGTGGTTGGTGCGTAAGTTTGAATAATAGTAGTATTAACTTGTCTTCCTTGTAGGCGTATGTATATTATCCTATCACTGACAGCATTGTACTTCAGGATAGGTCTTGAAACATTCTTTGTGACAATGAATGCAAGTAGGGCCCTGGCTTCAAGCTCCATCCTGCTGGCTCAGAATGTTTAAATGACTTAAACATATGTCACCATTCCTCTTCAGTCTGTCATTCCCAGCATATCATAGGATTGTCTGATTCAAAATGGCCAATACCCATCATTTCAGCTCACTACTACCTAGTATATCCATCTTTATGCATTCCATTTCATTTTTGACGACTTCCAGTTTTCCTAGGTTCATACTTTGTACATTCCATGTTCCAATTATTAGTGGATGTTTTCAGCTGTTCCCATTTTGAGACATGCCCCATCAGCAAATGAAGGTCTTGAAAGCTTTGCTTCATCCATGTTATTAAGGTCAACTCTACTTTGAGGAGACAGCTCTTCCCTAGTTGTATTTTGAGTGCTTTCCAACCTGAGGGGCTCATCTTTCAGCACTATATTAGACAATGTTTCAGGGCTATTCATAAAGTTTTCAAGTAATATATCAGACAGTGTTTCACTGCTACTCATAAGATTTTCAGTGGCTGTTTTTTGTTTTTGTTTTTGTTTTTTTTTTTGAGCAGTGGATAGCCCCTTATTTCTCCCCAGTCTGTTTTAGTCTGGAAGCTTTGCTGAAACCTGTCTACCATGGGTGCCACTGCTGGTTTGAAATATCAGTGGCTTAGCCTCCAGCCTCACAGCAATACTCAAGCCACCACAGTATGACAAACTAATAGATGTATTTTCAATTATACACATATGAGACACACGCTCCACACACAGTCACATACCAGTGCCTGCAGTACACTTTCTCACTAAAATTGTTTTGTCACTTCCTGGTCAACTCTAGACCTCTTCCTTCAGTCACGGCTAGGTGCTTGCGCTTCCTGGTATTTACAGATTCCTGCCACATCTAGCCCACTTAACCCTGCCCTTCAACTATTCTTTTAATTTTATCCTTTGACTAGGAGCCCAGAGATACCAGCAACTGGTCCAGATTCATCCTCTCTATTATTTCTAGTTCTTCAGATATGAATTCTCCAGTGTATCGAGTCTGTAAGCTTTCTTTCATTGTGCAGGAATTCCCTGTTTTGTAATTTTGGTCTGTGAGCTCACAGAGCAGTTTTGTTGTTCCCCCTGCAGACTCACGGATTCCAAACTTGTTTTTATGTAATGCTTCAGCTTAGGATGTCTGCTTATATCTGGGCCAACCTCCAGTCCGTGTCTCTGGCTCAAGGCTCTGGTTGGGTACACATGTCCCTGTCCCATCCACGGCCTGGGAGAGCCCCTCAGTTCCTGCAGTAACTCAGGCTGACAGCTACGAATTTCTGTTCTCCCAATCGGTTCTGACACCTGGCTACACACCGGGAGCTCACATTTGGCTCCCTGCCAACACTGGGACCTGTGGCTTGGCCCTAGTCCTTAAGTAGACACTAAAATGACTGCTCTTACAGCTCATACCCACCCTTGTTCTCTCCACAGGCTGTGGGCACTAGCCTCTCTCACTATCATAGGTTCCTGTCTCCTCTCTTAGGTCCTACAAATTACACTTTCCTGCTTTTGAACTTGGCTCAGAATGTTTAAACTCCTTAAACATATGTCATCCAGCATGTTCATATGTTGGGAGCTGTATGAGAGTGTGAGCTTCTGTTCACTCTGCCACCTGATGCATCTCTGTGTCCTGAATGCCTTGCTCAGTAAATGGCTGGTGATGATCTCTCGTCACTGTCCCCTTTGTTGTCTCCTCCTCTGTCTTGCTCCAGCTTGGTCCCTGACTCTCATGAAAGCCATAGAGGATCCTCATTCCACAAGAGCTTGCAGTCCTGGCCCACCTAGATGAAAGGAGGGATCTGCTCAGAGCCAGACAGCCCTAAGGAGCCTGAGAATGGCTCCTGCTCCCAGGACCTTGCTGGGAGGTGAGAGCCCAGGGTCGGGCCCTGGCTCCAGGCTCCAGGCTCCATCTAGCTGGCTCTGTCCCTGTAAACCCCTAACCCAGGCCTGGGGATTCCTCACACAGCATGGGTTTGGGACAGAGGAAGCTAAAGGGCCAGGCTGTCAGAAAGGCCCATTGTTTCAATGACCATGGACTTGAAGGTACAACTACTTCTTCATCATTGTCCTTCCTTTGCTGTCTTTCTATTTGTATCTACAACGTGACTGTGTATATGTGTGAGTTGAGAATGTGTGACTGTGTGTGTGTGACGAGTGTGAACATGCATGTGTGAATGGGTATATGTGAGTGAGTGTGTAGATATGAGTAAGTGTGAATATGTATGTATGTATGAGTGTGTGTGTGAGTGTGTATATATGAGTGGATGTCAATATGTATGTGTGACTGAATGTGTGTAAATGTGAGTGTGTGTATATGTGCATGAGAGATTGTACCTGTGTGTGTGATGAGTGTGAGTGTGAATATGTATGTATGTGTGAGTAAGTGTGTCTATATGAGTGGATGTGAATATGTATGTGTGAGTGTGAGTATGTGGGACTGTGACTGTGTATAAATAGGAGTGTGTGTAAGGCACTTGACTGCTACCCAGAAGGCTGGTGGTTCAAACCCACCAGCCACTCCTTGGAAGGAAGGTTGGGCAATCTACTTGCGTAGTGATCCCGCCTCAGAAACCCAAGGAGGGGTCGCTGTGAGTTGGGTCCAACTCAACGGCGTGTAACACAACATAACAAATGTGTGCATGAGCGTTTGTGACTGTGATGCACATATATGCCACTATATATGTGTGAATGTGTGTATGTGAGTGTGTATATACAAGTAAGTGTGACTCTGTATGTATGTGTGAGTGTAGCTTTGTGTGACTGTGTGTAAATGTGAGTGTATGTGTGTGTGTGAGCTGTTGGGGGTTATGGGTGTGGCTGTGCCCACCTCCTCGTGGACTTCTCCTTGAGGATCTCCCTCAGAAGGAAACAGCCACATGTTAAAAGGAGCCACGGAATTAACGACTGGAAGCATTTCATTCATTCCTCAAATATTGCTTGAGCACTTGCAATGTGCCAGGCATTGTGCCAGCTGGAGGGGAGGGGAGGGGGGAAGAAGCAGCCGCTAAAAATATAAATATACAAATAAATATGAAATTACAATAGCTATACGTACTCTGAAGAAGAAGTACAGGGATTTGTGAGAAAATATGATAGGGAGGGGTTACAGTTAGGGTGAGGGCCAGGGAAGGCCTTTGTCATGAAGTGAGTTCCAAGCTCAGCCCTAAGGGAGGCAGGAAAAGAGCATGCCAGCAGCGGGAACAGCATGTACGAAGGCTCTGTGCATTCTAGAAAAGGAAAGAAGTCGAGTGTGGGAAGGGGAGGGCAGAGGACAGGAGAATGAGGAAGCCAGCAGAGCCTCCCAGGCTTTGGGAAGCAGGCGTGTGACGGATTTGGACTTCCTGCTAAGTGCAGGGTGGAGAGGTGGACAGATTTAAGCAAGAAGGGGTGTGACCAGGTGTGTAATGTAGAACTCACTCTGGTTGGCCGCCCTGTGGGGAGGATGGCTCTGCCAAGCCCATGCTAGGCACCAGGAAAGCACAGGCCAGTGCTCCAAGGGAAGTATAAGATGATCTAATCCAGCCTCCACACTCATATGACAGAGGTGCCTGTAAGCAATAACTCTCCCGGAGCACTAACTTTTGGAAGAGCAAGGGAGGCTTCTTGGAGGAGGTGGCATTTGAGCAGGGCCTTGAAGAATGGAAGGCAAAGAGGAGGCCAGCCTTCCAGGTCTAGGAAACAGCTTACATGAAAGCTCAGCAGTTAGAGGGTTGAGGATGGGCTCAGGAAGGAACGATAGTGACTCTCCAAGTGTGAGTCAATCTGAAGCCAGAGTTCTAGTAGCCTCCAGGAAAATCTTTAACCAGAAACCTTTTAGTGTCAGCAATACTAACAGGACTTTTGGAATTCTAAACACTCCTTAGGGCCTTTATCTGCCCTCCAGTCTCAGCAGGTATCAGGAACTTCCTCCGAACTCAGCACGCATCACAAAAGCCATCCGGATTCAGCACGTATCGGAGATTTGCTCGGCTCCTGAAAGTCTTCCACACACCTGAGCCTTGCATCCTCCCCAGATAATATTTTCCTAAATGGACTTTGAAGCCGGGGGGTTTCTTTACGTCCCCCAACATCTTAGATCACTGCCCTAAATTCCTTAGCAACAACCAATCATCTGTATCCTCTCGCCCTGGTGCTGCTCCACCCCATAATTTTCCATAAATTTGTGAATATACCGGGGCACGGGGTCTTTTGCTCAAGCCACTGATCTGGTAAGGGCAAAGACCCTAACTTAAGTTAGCTAATAAACTCTCCTATTGCTTTTGCATTGTCGTGTGTTGGCATATTTCTCTCGCTGAGCAACTCCTTCATAACCTGGGCACAACACAAGGACACAAGATCCTTTGGTGGCTGAGTCAGCACTGGAACTCTGTCTTTGATGAAGTAGCCCCGAGGCCCGGCACTAAGAATTGGCACAGAGGAAATCCCCAAAGCCTTAAAGTCACTGGACTGTTGCAGACCCAGGCTCCCAAGGCAGACACTTCCCCTATTGTTGTGCAGCTGGGAGGTGGGGTAAAGGGAAGTGCTGGCCATAGGCTAAGCCAGAGAGCCTGGAGGAGGGGCCCCTTCTCAAATTGAGAGATGCAGGGGTGGGGCCTCCCCAAAGGCAGCTACTGGGAACTCTCAGGACCACAGGCTGAGCCACAGGGTGGCTGCAGGGAAGTGAGAGGTGAACTCAGCCCGGGCCCCGGGGGGGATGAGACTCTCTGCCACCTGCTTCCCTGGACTCTGATCACCATGACTCAAGCCCAGCAGCTGCGGGCTGAGAGGTGAGTGCTGGGTACTGCCCTCCGGGGCCCTCCTCACTGTTCCTGGCAGGCCTTGGGGGACTGAGGCAGGCCCTCCGACAGTCCCTTATCAACAACAGAAGGTAAAAGGCTGGGGTTGAGTCAGAACCCAGATACTCAGAAATGCAGACTCTTAGAATTGCTTTTAGGAACTTTTGAGATGCAGCTCACCTCCTTGGAGCACAGATGAGGATGGGGTGAGGTGGTCCACCAGATTCCAGCCCCTCTTTCCCACAAGTTTTCATTGGAGACTAGACCAGACTCACATTTGGAACCTTTGAGAGTCAGCAGCTGTCTGGGGCTTGTGGCACTTCCCGTTTCTCAGGAAACAGGGATCAGAAAGATGATGCCAAGAATGTTGCCTCTTAGCAACCCCGATTCCTGACCCTTTGAGGCCGTCCTTGACCCTAAGAGGGGCAGGGCCACCTTCCTCCACCCTTTCACAGGGCTCTGGAGTAAGGTCCTGAGGGTCATTTGACTTTGCTACCCCTTGAGGCCTTATCTGGGTGGGCTGGGGATCGATTCTCCTTGAGGCCAGTGTCCCATGGCAGGGTTTCTAAAAGCCAAAACACAAGGGGCTGCCACACACACACACACACACACACACACGGGGTTGGGAGTTCAGTTTCAGCAAATATGTTTTGAGTACCTAGCATGGGCCAGGTGCCATGGAAGTCTGAACTCACTGCCCTCTCATGGCCCTCCCAACCCCAGTCCCGAGTCTGGGTTGCAAAGGCAGACCGGAGACTTCATGAACAGCGTGAGAATGCAGTAAGCCCTGAGCGTCCTGACTGGCAGGGCCTTGAGTTGACCACAGTCTCCAAGGCAGAGGCTAGCCCAGGGACACCTTCAGTCAGCCCCGGGGCAGCAGCCTCTGGCTAGCCCCCACAGACAGCCAGGCCATTCTCACACTGTCCTTCAGACGAAAAAAAACAGTGGCCAATGAGGCAACTCCGATGTATGGTGACATCGTGTGTGTCCAGGCGGAAGTGTGCTCCACAGGGCTTTCAATGGCTGATATTTTGGAAATAGATCATGAGGCCTTTCTTCTGAGGTGTCTCTGGGTGAACTCACACCAACCTTCCCGTTAGCAGCTGAGCACATTAAGTGTTTGCACCACCCGGGACTCCACCCTCCAGAGGGAAGCTGCTAAAACATAAATAAGGGGGGCGGCGGCCTTTTGCTGAGCACCTACTACGTGCCGGCCCCGTCCTGGACACAGAACAGACCCCAGCTTCCACAGAGACTGGAGGGCTGCACTCGTTACAATGTGACCTCACAACCACCCAAAGCCGTAAGCACGTCTATGGTCCCCATTTCACCCAGGAAAGGCAGGAGCCACAGGGCAGGGAAGGGGTTTCCCAAGGGCCCTGCTGGTCTGGGCAGAGTGGAACTTGGGTCTTTGTCTGTCTGGTGCTGCACCTGTGCGTTGGCCAGAGAGGGACAATGTTGTTCCTGCTGAGCCCCTTCTTTGTCCCTGCCACCCTGGGGAGAAGTCAAGGCCCCTCTGTGAGGCACCAAGGTTCTCTGTGGGCAGGCCCTGCCTCTCACTGGTTCTGTCTCCCACTCTTTCTATGCTCAACATCTCTGCAATCCTTAAACTTGACCCTTCTGGCACAGCTACGGGCCTTTGTCCTCGCTGCTGCTTCTGCCTGTAGTGCCTTTCCTGCCATTCTGGGGTCAACAACTCTGCTCTTCCTGCAGCTTCTTCTGGGAAGCCCTTCCTGACCACCCTCAGTTGGGCAGTCTCCACCCATGTGCACACATGTCACCCTAGGTTCCCTCTCTGATGGCGCTAAGCCTGCCATCCTACAAGTGTCTGTTTGCTAATCTCTCTTGTCCACTGCACTTGTTGATCCTCTGAGGGGATGGACTAATGAAAAGACTCCCTGTTGTGGCTCAAAACACCCTGTGCTTTCCTTTCACGGCAACTTAGGACTATTTAAAGGATGCAAGTGTTTGGGGGCATTGGTGCTTGAGTGGTAGAAATCTGTCCCCTTTCATGTGGGACACCTGGCTTTTATTCCCAGTCAAGGCATTTCCTGTGTGGCCATCAGTCATCTGTCCCTGGAGGGTTCCATGTCGTTATCATGCTGAGCAGGTTTCCGTGGAGTATCCAGACTAAGATGGACCAGGAAGAAAGGCCTGCCCATCTACTTCTGAAAAGGCCAACAAAAGCTGTATCCAATCTGCAATTGAGTAGGGGGTGGGAGGTCGAGGCAGCATTTCATCTGATATGCATGGAGTCACCATGGGGCTGACTCGACAGCAGCTAATGACAACAACAGCATTTATTTGCTTAGTGTCCAATGCCAGCGTGTGATCCAAGAAGGCTGAGGCACACAGTAGTTGCTACATAAGGTTTATTATTATTGTTAATATTTCAGAGGGGGAAACTGAGGCTGAGATGGGCAGACATGCATCCAAGTTCACACAGGGAGCCTCAGAACTTGTGTACCAGTGTTGAGAGCAAAATTGTGGAGCCAGACTACTTGAGTTCAAATCTTAATTTACTCGGGCAAGTTAGTTAACTTCTCGGTGCCTCGGTTTCCTCATCTGTAAGAAGGTGACACTGTCTTAGAAAAGGGCCTGGTGTGTACTCAGGAAATGTTAGCTGTGGTTATTACCCAACCTGCTGCCTCTTGGTTCAGGGCATTTCTACTCTCTGGTTCCTTCCTGCCCCACCCCTATCGTGTTGCAGAGGAGCACATGGCCTCAGGGGGGAACATGGGGGTAGGAACATCTCCTGAGGGAGTCATCCGCAGGGCATGTGTGGAAAGAGAGTGGGGAGGTTCCTAGTGGCTCTGGTGACAGTGGGAACTATCCTCTGCTCGACTCCTGTCATCCTGAGCAACCCCTCCACTGCAGCATCCTAAGGCCTGACCCAGCCTGCAACCCTGGACAGACCCAATCTTGTAGGGTGGCGTGGCCTGGGGCTGGAAGTGCCTGGAAACCTTGACTTGGCTTCTCCTAAGGCTCTGCCTAGAAACCTTGACTTGGCTTCTCCTAAGGCTCTGCCTGGAAACCTTGACTTGGCTTCTCCTAAGGCTCTGCCTCTGGGAGCTCTGGTAGCATAGTGGCTAAGGCACTTGACTGCTAACCCCAGAAGGCTGGCGGTTCAAACCCACCAGCCACTCCTCGGAAGGAAGGTTGGGCAATCCTACTTCCGTAGTGATACTGCCTCGGAAACCCAAGGAGGGGTCGCTATGAGTCGGGGCCGACTCGACGGCAAATAACAACAACAACAACAAGGCTCTGCCTCAGACGTGACAGTCCTGCCCCACCCAGTTTCTCAATCACTGCAGCAGAAGAGTCAGGATTGCGTCCTGCTTCCCCATCTGTCCACAAGGAGCTATATGCCTAAACCTGGCTGCTCTTTCTCTGTTGGCCTGTGGTCTGTCTTCTGTTTCTCTTCCTCATCTGCCTCTCGGCCCTTTTCCCTGCTCTTCTCTGAGCTTAACCACAGCCACATGCAACCCATAACTCATTGCCATTGAGTCCATCCCAACTCATAACGACCCTATAGGAAAAGGAGAACTGCCCCATAGAGTTTTCCAGACTGTAACCTTTACAAAAGAAGACCGCTATACCTTTCTCACATGAAGCGGCTAGTAGGTTTGAATTGCCTAACCTTCGGTTATCAACCAAGCCCTTAATCGCTGGGCCTTCAGCCACAGCAGTGGTTCTTAATGCTCCCACTCCAGCCAAGACCCTCTGCTGAGCTCTAGAGCTGCATACTAGCTTCCTGCAGGAGATGGACCTAAGGGCCCCGGTGGCCTCTCAAATTAGCATGCCTGCAACTGAGCCCAACTCCACCCTCTCCCACCCATCCCGGTCAGAAATCTGGGCATCACTAGATACTGCTCTTTCTTCTCCCGCTACGTCCAAATAGTCCCCTAACCCTGCTGGTCATATAACTCAGTGTGTCACTGAAAATGCAATCGACTCAGGCAACCGAGGAACTGATAGTGGCTTAAACCAACAAGGATTTATTCTTTTACATAACAAGAAGTCCAGAGGGAGGTCATAGCTGGCTGCATAGCTCAGTGACTTCAGGGCCAGCATCTCAGAGATTTCTCTGGTTCTCCTTCTCTTTCTGCCTCACGTGTGCAATGTGGTTGCAGCAGGTCCAACTATCACATCTGCTTTCAAGGCAGGCAGAAAGGAGTAGAAGAGTCTGTGCTGGCTTTGCCTATCCTACTGGATCAGGAAGTCAAATACTGTTAGGTCTCATTGGCCAGCACTGGTCACATGGCTGTCTCTAGGTACAAGGGATGCTGGGAAACAGGAACAGGATTGTTATGTTTGGCTCAGACCAATCACGATCCATCACCTGGGGCTAGGCACATTGGTACTCCTGTTACACAAAATGTGGGTTTGTGCCCAGAGCGACACAGAGTAAATTCAGTCCCACTGAGAGAAGAGAGAAGAAAGAGTTTAATCGTTTATGCATAAGTAGGGGGTGGACAGAGTTTCAGATACTCCAAAAGCCCACCCACCTCCAGTGGGCAAATACAGGGTTAATATATGTTGAGCTAAAGCTTATGATCATATGTACACATGATCCCAAGAACTGGGGCTCTCTAACCTATGAGATGGACAAAGAGAGGCCACTAAGTTAGGACTATAGATTATCTCTTAGCTCTGGAAGGCCCTCATACCAGGTGGATTCGATTTATCTCAAGGCTGACCCCCTTGGAATATCTTGGTGTCTTTTAGTTTTGTGCCTCTGGGTCTGAGTGCTCTCTCCCAAGGCAATGTTGTACATTAGGTCATCACCCTGAGCAACCTTGGAGCCCAGTTAGCTAATAAGAAGCAGGGACACGATGATTAATGAGGCCCCTTCTGTTTATCCCTTCCTCATGTCCCTGCTGCACCGGTATCATTTCTCAGCTGGGCCGCCACATCAATGCCTCCCAATGCAGTATCTTCCTCCAGTCTCTGCACTTCCTTTCCCTCTGTTCATAGTTGCCTGAGTCGGCTTCCTAGAGCCAAACCCATGTTGTGTTGACTCCTTTCCGAACCTTGAATGACTCCTTATTCCTGTAGAAGTCCCTAAACTTGGCGCTCGAGGCCTCCTCATCAACCTGGTCAGGCTTAGATCACCAGGCTTCAGCTTTACTTGATTTGGCCCACTCTTCAGACAGTTGTCATGCTCAGGACCCCCGCATATGCTGTTCCCACTGTCCAGAAGGGCTTCCTGCAGCTTCCTGCAGGTGAACTCCTGCTCAACCTTTTAGACCTGGCTCCAATGTCTCCTCTTTTTTGGGGGAATTGCCAAATCTTGACATAACTGGTCATTCTCTCTCCATCCAGGACCTGTGCTGACTTTGCTTACCCCCATGAACCAGTGTCTAGAACAGGGCCTGGCCTGGAGGAGGCGCTTGGTAGATAACATTGTGCCTGAGTGGATCCACATGGTTGTAAAGTAGTGTGTTAGATGATCACATGGCTAGGGTCATGTGGTCCCCATTTCTAAGGCCTTCTATTCTCAGAGCTGAGCAGTGCCCTGTTTATCTTGTATCCCCAGTGCCAGTGACAGGCTGGTGCAGAAGGGTTACTGAGCAAGGCAATGCCAGATAGTGCCATGGGGTCACTTTGCACACTGCCTCACACCAAGCTGGTCCCTTAGCCACACTAGTGTGCTAACCAGGATTACTTTTCCTCTGGCCTCCTGCAGTGACTTTGAGCAGCTTCCTGATGACATCCCTATCTCAGCCAACATCGCCGACATCGAAGAGAAAAGGGGCTTCACCAGCCACTTTGTAAGCATGACCCCTGGACATTCACCCTCTGACCCCTGAATCTCCAACCTTCTGACCTCTGAACATCCAACACTCTCACTTCTTAGCCTATATCCCACTGGTTCTTGACCTGGGAAGTTTTGCCCCCATGGGAAGTTGACTGGAAATGTTTTTGCTTGTCACAACTCACTACCGGCATCTAGTGGGCAGAGCCCAGGGATGCTACTGAACTCTCTACAGAACACAGGACAACCCCCACACAAAGAATTGCTGTTGTGTTGCTGTTATATGCCATCAAGTCTGTCTTGACTCATATCGACCCCTCCTTGGGTTTTCGAGGCAGTACCACTATGGAGGTAGATTGCGCCATCTTCCTCCTGAGGAGTGGCTGGTGGGTTTGAACCTCCAGACTTCTGGTTAGCAGTCAAATGCCTTAGGCAGTATGCTACCAGAGCTTCCACACAAAGAATTATTCAGCCCCAAATGTCAATAGGGCTGAGGTTGAGAAAGCCTACTCTGTCCCTATGACCTCTGAACTTGGACCATTCTGACCTCTGAATCTCCTCTGTCTTGTGCCCCTGACCATTGAGTCCCTACCCTTGGCCTCTGTCCTCTCTAGGTTTTTGTTATTGAGGTGAAGACAAAAGGGGGAACCAAGTATCTCATCTACCGCCGCTACCGCCAGTTCTATGCCCTGCAGACCAAGCTGGAGGAACGGTTTGGGCCAGAGAACAAGACCAACCCCTTCACCTGCAACCTCCCCGTCCTCCCAGGTAGGCCCCACAGTCCCCAGTCCTGCCGTGGAGCTGGCTGCTGGCTTCCACTGCCCCCAGGACAGAGCTGTATCAGCCTCTCCTTCCAGCTCCACCTGACACTGTTTGGCTCTTCTCTTCAGCTCCATGTGGACACCCTTTGATTCATCATGGCCTTCCTCCTGGCAACCATGGGTTGCCCCACCCCCAGCTCTTTGGGTTACCCTGTGACCTTCACCTGTAACAGTTGGACCTCACAGTCCAACTTAACCTCCTCAGCTCTGGTGACCTTCATGGTCACTCTTCTTAAGCAATCCTCCACCGAGGCCACAGTTTGGAGCACATGAGCACATGGCCTCACTCCCTCAAGCCAGGAATTCTGTGTTTCATACTTTAAACACAACTAATCAACTTCCAACCCTCAACCCCCTTCCCTCCACCTCCTTTCACAAGACCGTCTCTCTAGCTTCACAAACCTAGGTGTCTCCAGGCCCCTTGGCCCTCTCTGTTCCCCAGGACACTGTAAGGAGTCACACCTCAGCTTCTGGACAGTCTTCTTGCTACCTTCCCTCCTTGCCCTTCCTCCCCAACAAGGTCTCGGCGTGCACCACAGACAGCTCCCCAACCTCCAGCTTCCCAGCCCCTGCATGGGCCCCTGCCTTTTGATCCCTGCAGGAGAAAACCCCAGTGAGGTGTGGGCTACTGAGGGGCACCTCGGAAGGGGCCCTTCATGCCACTCACATGCACAGGTTACCATCCTTCCCCAAACTTCCTTACTTCAACTTCCAAACCCCACCTCTGGCTCCCTCTTACTTCTCTTTCTCAGCAAATGAATGTGGTTCCTACTCCTTCATCCCACACAAAGCAAGCCAAAGGTGTGCCCCATGGGTCTCCCTTCTTAACTCCCTCAGAACTGGCCCTCTCACACCTGTCCCTTCCTCCTTACCTCGATGGCAGGGGAAGAACCATCTTTCCTGCTCCAAGCCAGCCTTTCCTCCAGGGCTCCTGCCTGGGTGAGTGCCCTGAGCCTGGATGCTGGGACAGTTCTTTCATTGTCTCTCCTTAGCCAAAGTCTATATGGGTGTGAAGCAGGAGATTGCAGAAATGCGGATACCTGCCCTCAACGCCTACATGAAGGTACCAGGAGGGCCATGGCAGTCTCGGAACCTGGGAGGGCATGGGCTGTTGGGAGGCACAGACACCATATCTAAGGAATGGCTTTGGGAACTGGAGTCAGAGGTTGCCTAGCCTTCAATCCCTAAGGGCCTGGTGAGATGAATAGGGTGTGTTTGAGGAATCCTGAACCTAAGCCTGTCATCATAGATGCCACAGAGTTTCCAGAACCCAATGAGGCCATCCTGCCAAGCCCTGCATCTCACAGGCCCTTCCTACCCCCTGCAACACTGCGGTGGGCTTTGGGTGGTGCAGTTCCAGAGGTGCCCAGCCCCTGCAGAGAATCCATGGAGGCAGCAGGATGGGACAGGCTCAGCAAATGGCATCCACAGGAAGTGGGGATGCAGAGTTTGGGAAAGATAGGCTGAGGGAGCTGAGTGAACTATTATAGAGACAGAAGGTTGCTCAAAGGGGGCTTAAGGGCACAGACGCCTAAGTGTCACTGAGCCTGGGATTGAATCCCAGCTCTTGCACTCACTAGCTTGCTGATTTTGAGCAAGAAACTGTCACAGCGCCCCCTTGAGGAGAGATACTGCCAGTGCTAGAGCTCACAGGGCTTCCTTCCTTGTCTCCTCCTTGCTCACAGCCTGGAGCCCAGGATTCCTGCAGCCCAAGGCAAAAGCAGGTTGGCCCCTCTTCTGTCCTGTCTTCACCCTCCTCCATCTCCTCTGTTCTTCTCCTGGCCCTCCACACCCAACTCACACTCAGAGTCAGGCCCTCCATTCCTGGAGAGAGTTCACAGTTCATGAAGCACTTTCCCATCCTTTTCTCAGTAGATCCTAACTTTGCACCTGGGAAACCAGAGGTCTGTAGACACTGCCTTATTTCATAGGTGAGAAATCAAGGACTAGAGAGGACGAGCAGTTTGCTCCCAAATCACCCAGCCAGTCAACAGCAGAGCCAAGACTACAGAGACTCCTGGCTCTGTGCTCTTCAGCCTTGAGACCTAAAGAGGAGGTGGAGCTTTGAGTTGCCTCTGAGGATGCCCCTGGGCGATGAGGAGGGCTTCCCTCTCCTGCTTCTGAGAAATTTGACTTGCCTCTTGTGCCCAGGTGCTCACTACCTCCTAATGAACATAGTCCCTTCTTGGACAGCTCTGATTGGTGGAAGGCCTTCTGACTGCTTTTTTTCTGTATCCTCATCTCATAGGTTGAAGAACACACAAGGGTGCCTAGCCAAGGCCTATGTTGTTGTTAGGTGCCATTGAGTCATCTCCGACTCATAGTGATCCTATGTACAGCAGAACAAATACAGCCCGGTCCTGTGCCAGCCCCACAATCCCTGCTATGCCTGAGCCCATCATTGCAGCCACTGTGTCAATCCACCTTGTAGAGGGCCTTCCCCTTTTACATTGACCCTCCACTTTACCCAGCATGATATCCCTCTCCAGGGAATGTTTCCTTCTGAGAGCATGATCAAAGTAGGTGAGACAAAGTCTGGCCATTTTCGCTTCCAAGGAACATTCCAGCTGCACGTCTTCCAGGACAGATTTGTTAATTCTTTTAGCAGTCCATGGTACTCTTAGCATTCTTCTCCAACACCGCAACTCAAAAGCATCAATTCTTCTTTGATCTTCCTTATTCATTGTCCAGCTCTCACATGCATATGAGGTGATTGAAAATACCATGGCTTGTGTCAGGTGCACCTTAGACTTCAAGGAGACATCTTTGCTCTTCATCACTTGAAAGAGGTCTTTTGCAGCAGATTTGCCCAATGGAATACATCTTCTGATGTCTTGACTGTAGAACTAGGTAATGTGAAGTCCTTGACAACTTCAATCTTTGCTCCATCCATCATGAAGCTGTTTATTGGATCAGTTGTGAGGATTTTTGTTTTCTTTATATTGAGGTGTAATCCATACTGGTGTTCCTCGCAGTCATTGCAGGTGGGCTCGCAGCCTCAGGGCCACTGTGGTGGGTCCTCCCTGGGCTTGACGGTGGTGGGCCATGCCTGTTATCACTGACTCTGAGCACACCATTGCAGAACCCCTGTGCCAGACATGCCCAGCCTGCACTTGCATGCACTCTAAGAGCTCTGGTGGTGTAGTGCCTAAGGCATTTGACTGCTAACCAGAAAG